GTGAGCGTTCACCTGACTTCTGAGACAATACCAGGTGTGCCCAGGTGACCTAACAGTTGCTAGGTGGCTGCTACAGCACACTCCCCTCACCTGATGCAGCTCAGGGAGAAGCCAGGCAGTGAGTAACAGCTTTCTGGCCTGAGAACATGTGGCTCAGCAAACAGCGTGTCATTCTTGCAGCCAGCCAGGCGGAGACAAGGCTCAGCTGATTCTGATCTCCCACCTGCTTCTCCACAGGGAGTGGAGAAGCCATCGGCAGAAGATATGTCCAGGAGAAAGATCTCCAAAGTCCTGTGCATCGGGCTCTCTTTGCTTGTTGCCTTCAATCTCCTGCTGGTGTTTTCCACCAAGGGGACTTTACAAAAGTTGCTTCTGGCTAGCATCCCTAAGGGGCTTCATTCGCCTGAATGGGAAGGGGCAGTGATCCAGAGACTCTCCCACCTGGAGGTGGATTTGCAGCAGCTGAGTAAGTTCCCGGTACTGACTTGGAGGGGAGGTTGTCCATGTACTGTTGTGTGTGTACATGTGCATGCTATGAGATCCAGAAAAAAGGAACATGAGGGCAGAGGAGTGGGTGAGAGGCTTTGTTCTTATCTCTTAGCATCTTATTTAAACATCCTTTACATGCCTACAGATGAGAGGGAGGTATTGAGAATGCAGGCGGTGGGGAAGAGAAGAGTAAGCAGTTTTAGGTAGGGGAGCAGGTGTGTGTGTGCTTGTGCACCTGCACGACCATATTTAAGTGTGTGCAAAGAGGGAGACTCAGGGTAAGACTCTCTGGGGTGCTCAGGGATGCGTAGACATCTACTGTCATCCCACCCTGAACACGCCTGATCTCGGAAGCTGAACAGCATCCGGCCTGCTTATACCTGGATGGGAAGAATGTGTGGGAACAGCTCTGTGCTTCTGCTGCCGTGTCTTGGACCCTACTGAAGAGAAGTGGCATCTGTTCCGTTAGAGGACCTCAGATGGAATCTTGCTGTGGTCATTGGGATTGTGTGATTCGGCGGCGGGTGGTTGTCTCTCAGCCTCAGGTTCCTGTTCTGTAAATGGAGATGATGATAATGATGACAACACACACCTACCTGACCTTCTGAGGTTGTGAAATATATGCAGAAAGCAATCTATAACCTGCTATGTGCCCAACTATAACTTGTTCACTAGAAGTCCAAGGTGAGACTTCAGCAAGTTCTGGGGCTTGTGTGTGGTTCTTGCCCCCCGTGGCACTCTCTGAACTTCATGTGCCTCTGCATCTGACCTCTCACCAAGGGAGAGGGCTCTGTGATGCCGGAACCCTGAAGGGAGGTGCTGAGGGTGTGAGTGGGCATGGGGCTGCGTGGATGTGTGTACGTGGGGCTAGAGCTGGGGAGATTGTCTTTTCAAATGAGAACTGAGTATTTCCAGGTTTCTGGGTAAGGCAGAGGGATGGACAGAAAGAAAAAAAAAAAACAGAAAAAGAGATGAGGGAGAGAGGAAGAGAGAGAAAAGAGAAGAGAGGAGAGGAGAGAAAGACAAAGAAGGATATAAAAAATGTGAACTGAGAAGAGCAAAAGAGAGACTCCAGGGAGAGCAAATGAAACAGGCGGAGAGAATGGAGGATGGAAGGTGGTCATTAAGCACCTTGCAGCACCTTCTACCTCTCCCCACAATGAGACTTTGCATATGTTATTGAAACACTGTTTTTTGAAAAGCAAGTTTCATAAGGGTTGATTCCATCAAAGTCATATTCACCTCTTGTCTCTGTTCACCATAGAAACGATAGATCCCAATGAGTGAGTGTCAGAAGGAGAGAAGAAAGGACAGGCAGGCGGGGGGGAGGGGGAGACTGAGCAAGAAAGTGACTGTAACAGAGAAGGAGGTTGCCTCCCAGGGCGGTGACCCCAGAGCCACCGCCACTCCCTGGCAGAATGCCCAGAGCACACCAGGGTGCTTGCCCAGCTTCCTCGTACTGACTCAGCCTCCTCAAGTCTTGCCATGGCTGGAGTTCTGCCCGAAGCTCCGCCATTCTTTCCTTCAGTGGGGGTAAGACAGGCTGCCAGGAGCCATCCAGGGCCACCCCGTGTACTTCACGTCCTGTCTTGGCAGTGATGAGTGCCTCTTCCTTTATTCTGGATGCACCCTCTTTCTATTTACTCTGATATAATGCAGTGTCAGAGACTTATGACCACCTGACCTGGGGTGAGACGCAAAATGCTTTCAGGGCCCTGTGTCCAAATCCCAACTTCTTCTGTGCCCTGCAGTGCTTCCTGAAATGGAAAGGCTGTTCCGTGTTGGTTGCTCATTCACAGTCATCTGGTTGTTCATTTGCCTTCAGGGTTCCTGAAAGACAAAGGAAAATCATAGGTCAAAAAGAATACCCACACAAGCCATACAGACAACCAAGACCAAAAGCAAACAAAAAGTTATGACAGGGATCAGTGACTGAAACCAGGTCGCCGGAATCTCCCTTGGCTCTTAACAGCCCAGTGGAGATGTTGCCTGTATCCCCTTGGGGGCCTGGAACATTTCAGCGACAGAGATGGCGATAAGCTAATGACTGTGTATTCATCCTGCTGGACTCTCTGTACTTCCTCAAGTGGCCTCCAGGATGTCCAGCCAGAACCATTTCCCAGAGACCATACAACTCCCAGAGAAGAACATAGAGGGTCTGGAGACTTGGATAACCCAGTACCACGCAGTGACCTCCGTAAGCTTAGTACAGAAGAGCATGGACAATAGCCCTGTGCAATTTGAAATGCTGCAAACTTTTGCTTGCACTGCCAAATATGTACAGTGTTCACCTGAACCTTCTTTGATGGATCCGTTGCTTTTCTTCCCAAGCAGGCTTTGGCTGTCCTCTTTTGCCTTCAGCACTTCCAGAGCTGTTTCTGCTTCTCCTTTTCTTGGGACCGGCCTCCTTATCACCTTCCAAACACATTCTCCCCCTAGTTGTAGGACTGCTCTGCTTCTCTTTCAGGGGTAAATCCAGCTCACATTCTGCACCGCCCCCCCCCACCCCCACCCCAGACATGTGCTGTCACATGGCGCTGAATCCACCCAGAGAAAGTTCACCCAAGGGGCTGTATCCTTGCCACGCTGCTGACACTGGGTTGCACTCATCCAGAAAAGAGAGCCGCCTTCTAATTTGCTGGAAGATGCTGCATGAACTAACGGTGACCCTGCCAGTGTGGTTGGAATCAGGTGTGGATAGGAGAGGATCAGTGGGGACGAAGCAGGTCCTCTGGCAGGGTGTCTTGATTCCCACTAGGAGATTTGAATGCTGAGCAGTGTTACCATCACTAAACACTCAAATGACTTTTTCTCTTTTTTACTGAATTCATGAATTGAGCTTAAGGGAGTTCAAGGTGCATATGCTAAAACTCTCCAGCTTAAAAGGTGAGAAATAATGAATGAGGGCCAGTGCTTAAGACACTGATTGAGACACCCTCATTCTATATTACGAGGCTTGAGTTCAAGCCCTGGTTTCACCTCTGATCCAGCTTCCTGAAGATGGGCACCCTGGCAGGCAGCAGGTGATGGCTCAAGTACTTGGGTTCCTGACACCTCATAGGAGATCTGCATGGAGTTGCAGGCTTTTGGCTTTGACTTGGCCCTGCCATGGGTGTTGTGGGCATTTGGGGAGTGAACCAGCAAGTGACAGATTCCTGTCTCTATGTCTTTCAAATAAAAAAGAAATATTGGATGCAAAAGAGCTCTGCCATTTTAGGCCATTTTCCAAACACAAAGCTTCATTGTTATGGGTCTAGAAGACCTCTTCTGTATGAAAGTTGTCTACTCAGGTCCGTCTCCACTACCTGTTCATTCGTTTGAGTTAAGGCAGTTTCTCAAATTGATGTGACCATTAAATTTATCTGGAGCAAGTGTTAAAAATCAGATTCCTTGGCTCTACTCCAGACCCACCCAGTTAGAATCTCCATGGAGGACCTGGAGTCTGTATTTCTAAAAATCATTTGAAGACATTCTTATGAGTTAAGTTAAGGCTAGTTAAGGCTAGGACATCGCTGGAAGTTCCAGGTAAGTCGAATACCAGGGTCTTCTAAAAGCTCATGGGAAAAGCGTATTCTGGAAAGGCTATGGAGGGATTCCAAATTTTTTTGCGCCAAAGTATATTTATCTTTGATTCCATTTTCCATGAACTCATTGCAGTTCCCTTGTACATAAGAAGTGATAGAATGAATGGATGATGGCGAGGAGGGGTAAGATATATTCATTTTGACTAGCCACCAGTATACTACAATGTTTTACACACTTTATAGTTCAAAAAGAATCACTTCTCAATGTGTTAAAATGCAGATTTTTGTAACTTCCCCTGCTCAGATCTTGACCTTGAATCTCTGATTTTAATAAATAAGGAAATGTGCCTTTTATCTACATTTTTAAATTATCACAACAGTGATTTTGAAGTGAGTGATTCTTGGGCCTCATTCTGAAATAAAAATGGCTTATTGCCAATATTTTTTCTTTTCGTCTTCTTTTTAAAGATCTATTTATTTACTTGAAAGACGGAATGACAAAGAGTAGAAAAGACAGACAGAGAAAGATTTCAATCCACTGATTCACTCCCCAAATGGCTTCAATAAATGAGTCTGGGCCTGGCTGAAGCTAGGAGCCAGGAACTCCATTTGGGTCTAGCACATGGGTGACAGGAGCCCAAGCACTTGGACCATCACCTGCTACTTTCCCAGGCACATTAGCAGGAAGCTGGATCAGAAGCAAAGCAGCCAGGACTTGAACCAGCATTCATATGGGATGCTGGCATTGGAAGCAGTGGTTTAACCCACTACTCTACTTGTCAATCTTTACCTTGGGTCACAGTGAGTCAGTTCCTAGAGGACTCTGAACGGTGAATGGTAGATCTGTTTTGATGGAGCTGAAGAGACATATTTATCATATTGTCTGCGGAAAGAGCTTGGAGAGTGAACTTTCAGAGTGGAAAGCAATGCCCAGGTATCTAAGGGTTGAGGAAGTGTTTCTCTCTACTTTGTCCTGTTCCTTGGCAGGAGAGAGCATGAAACGGGCTATGAAGCAACAAGAAGAAGCAATCCCCACCCTGCAGAGCGTGAACGACGAAGAATACCCCCGTCAGCCTGCAGCAAAAGCCAAGGCCCACGAGGCAAAGAACAAAGCTCCAGGGAAACTCTTCCCACACTCGCCACTCTTCCGGCAGTGGGGTGAGGGTCTTTCCAAGGCCCAACAGCTAAAGGCCCAGGACCTCTTTGAGAAGTTTGGCTACAACGTGTACCTCAGTGACCAGCTGCCCCACAACCGCAGTATCCCCGACACGCGCGACTCCAGGTGGGATGGGCCCGGCTGGGGCTTCCAGGGACCTCGATGTGGGATGAGCTTTGGGAACCGTGAAAGTCAAGGATTGAGGGAGTGGGGAATTGAGGGTGAAAGGGCTCAGGCTGACTGATCTTGTTATCAACCCATTTGATGACGGTAGCTGACAGAAGATAACCAGATATTGGCAGCCCCTTGATGATGATCAGAGGTGTCAGAAAAACAGAGCCTTGGAATTCTGGAGCAACGGGTGTAATGCATAATTCTTTTTTTTTTTTTTTTAAGATTTATTTATTTGCAAGTCAGAATTACACAGAGAGAGGAGAGGCACAGAGAGAGAGGTCTTCCATCTGACGACTCACTCCCCAATTGTCCCTAACAGCCAGAGCTGTGTGGATACAAAGCCAGGAGCCAGGAGCTTCTTCTGGGTCTCTCACATGGGTGCAGGGGCCCAAGGACTTGGGCCATCTTCTGCTGCTTTCCCAGGCCACAGCAGAGAGCTGGATCAGAAGAGGAGCAGCCGGGACTAGAACTGGCGCCCATATGGGATGCCGGCGCCTCAGGCCAGAGCGTTAACCTGCTGCACCACAGCGCCGGCCCCCATGTAATGCATAGTTCTATAGATGCAGAAACTGAGGCTGAGAAGGACTTGTGAAAGTCACTTCCAAGTTAGCTACGCTGTTTGCTGCCCTTGTGTTTCCCTCAAGTTCTCTGCTCGGATTCCTCTTTATTCCACCTAATTTGAAGAGCCTTCTCTCTCCCTGTGCTATCTCCTTTCTCCCATTGTTTTCTGCCTCTGCCACCTTCCTTCGTAATTTTAAGGAAGTAACAGCTTTGCTCAGATATGATTCATGCACCACTCAACTCATCCATGTAAAGTGCACAATTTGTGGTTTTTAGTCTATTCACAGAGTTGTGTACTGTTACCACAATCGATTTTTAAAATACTTTCATTTCAGAAAAAAACAAAGACAAAACCCCATACCCATTAGCAGGTACATGTCATTTCCCCACAACTTCCTTATCCCTAGGCAAGCACTAATCCCTAGGGGCTTACCTCTTCTGGCCCCGTAATGTAATATTTGTCCTTCTGTGACTTGCACTGTTCCCTTATCATGATTGCAGGTGTTACCCATGTTATAGCATATATCAAGTTCATTCATTTCTATTGTCCAATAATCCCTAAAATTTTATTTGTTTATTTTTTTTATTTGAATGGTAGGGTTAGGGGTGGCGTGGGGAGAGAATCCTCCCATCCACTAGTTCACTCCCCAATTGCCTGCAACAGCTGGGGCTGGGCCATGTTTAAGCCAGGAACTGGGAACTTGATCTATGTCTCCCATGGGGGTAGCAGGAGCCCAACTACTTGGACCATCACCTGCTATCTCCCAGAATGTATTGTCAAGTAATATTCTATGATAAGGATTAGTACATTTTGTTCACTCATCACTTGGTGGACATATGGATTGTTTCTAGTTTTGGGTTACTATGAACAATGCTGCTATGAAGATTCATGTACAGCTTTTTGTGTGGACAAATATTTTTATTTCTCTTGAGTGTAATTTGGGAGTAAACTTGCTAGCCCATCTGATAACTATATTTAACCTTTCCGGGAACAGCAACAGTGTTTTCTCTCCAATGGTGCCTGAAAGTCTTAGTTTATCCACACATTCATCCACATTTATTATTTGTCTGATTAGTCACCCTACTGGGTGTGAAGTGATAGCTCACTGTAGTTTTGATTTAAATTTCTTTGAGGCCTAAGGAGTGATGTATCTTCTTTGGCGATATATCTATTCGGAGACTTTCTCCTTTTATAAGAATTGGCTTGACTTTCAATTACTAACTTGCAAGAGTTCTTTATATATGTTCTAGAGACCAGTTCCTCTCAGAAATATGATTTGCAAATGTCTTCTGTCGGGTGGGTTGTCTACTCCCTTCTTTGATGGTGTTCTTTGAAATGCAAAAGTCTTAAATTTTCATGATGTCCACTTTGTATGTTTTTTCTTCAGCTCCTTGTTCTTTTTTTAAGTCTAAAAATTTTTTTAATAGCTATAAAAATACAACCAAGTGGAAAATCTTTATTTTGCTAAGAAATACAAACAGGACAAAACACTTTACACACCTTGCATTTCCTGAAGATTTAACAAGCATCAGTAGTTTCTGTGACAAGTTGTTGTCCTCCGTGGTTCAGAGAAAGCTCAGATGCCTGACAGTTTATGAAAACCCAACATCTTTTCCTTTCTACTCACCAACTCAGTCTTTTCAGAAGTCTTGCCAGTGTTTTCTTTGTCTGTCTGTGTTGCTGCTTAATTTTTTGTTTAAATTTGTTTATTTTTATGCGGTTTCATGTGTGTCATATGGTGTGCACACACAGCCTATATTTTTTTTTGTTATATATCTATTTGAAAGGCAGAGTTACAGAGAGGTAGAGGAAGGGAGGGAGGGAAGGAGAGAGAGAGAAAGAGAGAGAGAGAGAGAGTGAGAAGAAATCTTTCAGCTGCTGGGTCACTGCTCAGATGGCTACAACTGCTGGAGCTGGGTCAATTCAAAGCCAGGAGCTTCCTCCAGGTCTCCCACGCAGGTGCAGAGGCCCAAGGACTTGGGCCATCTTCTACTGCATTCCCAGGCCATAGCAGAGAGCTGGATTGGAAGTGGAGCAGTGAGAACTTGAACTGGTGCCCACATGGGATGCTGGCACTGCAGGCAGCGGCTTCACCTGCCATGACACAGCACTGGCCCCCGCTGCTTAATTTGATGGATTTCATTTTCTAGTTGCACGATAGTTCGTTCAATCTCATAATTCTTACTGACCAGGGATTTCCGATTTGACTCCATTTCTCTGTGTGAGTTGCATGTTTTTTGCTTGAATGTGTTTCCTTAACTTCTGAAGCTCTTTCTGTGCATGTTCAATCATGGAACTAAATTTTCATTACATACTTTCCAGCCATCACATCTGTGCTCTGACATCAGTTCCAGATTCTCAGTTCCAACTTGGTGCTCTAAACTGGGCCATAGAATTGTTTACACATTCTTGCCATGCAGTAATGTCATTTTCTGACCTGAGAATGGGGCTGGAAAACTCGTATCGTTTCACACTGAGCAGAGCAATTGGTTTGTCCAGCAGCCAGTCTTTCCAATTCATTTCTCAGTATGTCAGTTTGCAAAGCAGAATAATCCCGGGCTGTCAGGTAGCTCAGTTAATTTTTAGTGAGTCGGTATCCCGGAGTTTCCTCCTTCACCAGGGCTGCAGCCACTTCTCGCCCACCAGGTGCTTTATCACCTTGACAAATACGGTAGCAGGTAGTGCGTCCATGGCTACCTCTCCAGCCACCAAACCAGTGTCCGCCCTGCTGGGGCACACGGGTTCGCCTTGCTTGTTCGTTTGATGTCATATCTAAGAGACCGTGGATAAATGCAAGGTCACAAAGAATTAAGCCTGTGTTTGTTTCTAAGGGTTTTACAATTTTCTGTCTTATGTTAAAGTTTTTGGTCCATTTAAAATTACCCTTATTACACAATGGACATAGATGTTCGACTTAATTCTTTAGGGTGTAGCTAGCCAGCTGCCTAGCGTCCTTCACTGGAGAGATTACTCTTTCCACATTCAACTGTCTTGGAATCCTTGTCCAAATTAATTACCTAAAAATGTAAAAGGTTTAATTTTGGATGTCAGTCCCATTCCATTGGTACATAAGTTTATCCTTATGACATCACACAATGTCTTAATAACTATGGTTTGGTAGTAAGTTTCCAAATTGACAAATGTGACTCTTACAATATTTTTCTTCTTTTTCAAGATGATTTTGTATATTATGGGATCTTGCATTTCCATACATATTTTAAGCTTAAGTTGTTTACTTTTGCAAAGAAACCAATAAGGTATGATTGGAATTGCATTGAATTTGTAGTTATTGCATTTTAACAATTAAATCATCCAGTTCCCAAACATGGGAAATCTTTCCATTTATTTAACCCTGCTTTAAAGTCTTTCAACAACATTTTGAATTTTGAGAATATGAGAATTTTGAGTAAAATTGAATTTTGAGAAATGCAAAACATTTCTTTGCATTTGTTTGCTAAATTCATAAATATTTCTTCTTTTTGATGCTGTTAGAAGTGGAATTATTTTCTTGATGTCATTGTCACATTTGCATCCTAACTATAGAAACGCCCTTACTTTTTACATATTGATCTTGTATATTGCAACTCTAACACATGTTAGTCAGCTCCCCACCGCCATAGTGAGCTAGCTGAGGCAGCTAACTTGATAAAGGGAAAACGATCCTGGTGACTCACCTCTTTCTGTGTGGCCCCTGGTGATGCTGTTCCTGCCGGTAGAGTTCACAGCGGCCCAGGGCATCACACGGCAAGGAGCAGGGAGCGCACAAGTGTCTCCATCCCTGCTTATATGACACCAGCACTCAGTCACGGGCTCCGCCCTCATGACTTCACTCAGTCTAGTCACTTCCTAGCTTGCAACATCACAAGTGGATTCCACTTCCGCCCTTTGAATGCCATTGACTTATGACTCCCGAGTGTAAGCTGCTGTGCGAGGTTGGAGCCAAACATTCAAACCACAGCACTTATTATATTCATTCCTTAGTTCTAACAGTTTTTAAGTGTATTTTAAAAGGATTTCAATATATCAGATTATTTCGGCTGAAAAAAAAAAGGAGTTGTACATTATGCTTTCCAACATGATGCCTTTTATTTCATTGTCTTCCCTAATCACCTGGCTAAAACCTCTGATAATGGTAGTTCATAGGATACTTCCTTTAATTTTCATTATATGGGGGAGAGTATTTAATATTTCACCATTAAGCATGATGTTAGGGGCCAGCATTGTGGTGCAACAGGTTAAGTCACCACTTGCAATTCCAGCTCCCATACTGGAGTGTAGGTTTGAGTTCTGGCTGCTCTATTCTGATGCAGCTCCCTGCTAACATGCCTGGGAAAGCAGCAGATAATGGCTCAAGTACTTTGGCCCCTGTCATCCATGTGGGAGATATGGA